GGTACATTCCCATAGGGAATTCTGGCACTTGGAGGTGGAGTATTAGCAGATTGAAACATTGTGCTAGCCCTGAGAAGATACTTGTCCCTCTACTTTTTGAAACTGTAGGTCAGGCAAAGTTCATCTAGAAGCTGAATCAAGTCAAGTAGAAGTTAGAAGAGAAAAGAGGATAGTGGTAAGCACTTGGCCTTGTGGCTAAGATATTATTTGAGATATCTTCATCTTAAATCAGAAGTATTTGGGTGTGATGCCTGTCTTCACTCCCCAATTCCAGGTTCCTGCTGAGGCACATCCCATGACACAGTAGATGGCTCAAGAGCTTGGGGCCCTGCAACCTTCACGGGTGACCCCTACGGAGATCCTGGCTCATGCCTTTCACCTGGCCCAACCCCATTTTTTTGTGGGCATTTCAACAGTGGACTAGCAGAGGAGAGCTTTCTCTTTATCTCCACCAATCTCAAGGAAAGGTTTCTTTTTAAAAAGTAGACCTATGTGAGTTCAGCAAAGTGACAGTTCAGACTTGATCTGTCAAGAACTTTTTAAAAAGAACCCCCTCCTCCTTTTTTTAATTGGAAAGGTAGATTCATAGAGAGGAGAGACACAGAATGATCTTCCATCCACTGGTTCACTCCCCAAGTGGCCACAACAGCCAGAGATAAGCTGATCTGAAGCCAGGAGTTTCCTTCGGGTCTCCCACATGGATGCAGGGTCCCAAGGCTTTGCGGCCTCCTCTGCTGCTTTCCCAGGCCACAAACAGAGAGCTGGATGGGAAGTAGAACATCCAGGACACCAAGCAGAGCCCATCTGGATGTTGGTGCTTGCAGGTAGAGGATTAGCCTGTTGAGCCACTGCCTCCCCTTTAATTAATTATTTAATTAATAATTAATAATATTAATTAAAATATTAAATAAAATTAATTAAATTAATTAATAATAAAATTAATTAAAATAATTAATAATTATTTAATTAATAAGAAATTAATTAAAAGGCAATTACAGGGAGGAGGAGCGACAGACAATCAATATGCTCGTTTACTGTTCAAATGGCTGTATTGTCCAGGGCTGGGCCAGGCTGAAGCTAGGAACCTAAAGTGCCTTCTAGGTCTCCCATGTGAGTACAGGGGCCCAAGTACTTGGGCAAGTTTCCACTGCCGTTCCAGGTGCGTTAGCAAGGGGCTAGTTCAGATGTAGCAGCTGGGTCTTGAACCAGTACCTATATAGGATATTGGCATTGCAGGCTGAGGCTTAGACGAATAGGCCATAATGTCAGCCCCAAGGCCTTGAAAAAACATGTGGTACCCCCATGCCTCTAGTGTGGAACCAAAAGTCAGTTATTTTTCAAAGGAAGAAAAGTCAGTTCTCTGAGTTTTCTCAGTAGCAGGCCTAGAGCGATGTTATGTTCTCCAAAGTGAATAAATGCAAGAGGTGGCCTAATCCTGAACATACTCGTTCATTGTTAAATGCATCCATCTGTTCATTCTATTTTTATAAAATACTTTTCAAAAATGTTAATTTACTTGAAAGGCAGAGGAAAAAAGGGATTTCCATCTGCTGGTTCACTTCCCAAATGCCCTAATAAACAGAGTTAGACCAGATTGAAAGCAAGAATCAGGAATTTCATCTCAGATCTCCTGCATGGGTAGTGAAAGGCCTGAGGACTTGGCATCATCTCCTGCCTCGCAGGGGTGTGCATTAGCAGGAAGCTGAACTGGAAGCAGAATAGCTAAGAGTTAAACTTGCACTCTGAAAAGGACGGGGTATCTGAAGTGCTTAGTCCCTTATCCTACAACACCAACAGTGCCTGCGTCAGTTCAGCTCTGGTCTTTACCTTCATGGTGTTTGCATTCTAATGAGGGAGAAAGGTTATATAAATATCTATACATACATATATCTAGATCTGGATCTATTTAGATTAATCTCTACATACAGATCTATGTAGTCTGCCTAGATTTATCTAGATCTAAAAATATATAGATAAATCCATATCTATATGTATATATAAATAAATGACAAGTTGATTGTAAATGTTCTGAAAGGAATAAGCAGAATGAAAAATCTGGATGGGGCAATTGATTTAGTTTTTTATCACAGAGCATTTCAAACATACAGGATTATGGAAAGTCCTACAGTGACCCCTCCTACTCACCTATTTTGGCAGTTATCAGTTTAATAGCTAATGGCTTATAATTAATGGTTAATCTTGTTTCACTTATTTCCCCTTCTCTCACATACATAAATGCACACAATTGAATTATTTTGAAGCAAGCACTAATCACCTATGAATATATATATGTATGTGATATATATATATATATATACACATCAGTAACCACAATACCATTATTGTGTCTTAAAAATTGATAATGATCCATCAACAGCAAATAACTAGCCATATTTTCAAATTTTTCCTGTCTGATGCATGTGGCTCAGTCTGATTTGAGTCATCAAAAAAGAGCCCATAGATTTCAGTTGGCTGACCCATTAAATGACTTTTAATTTTATAGATCCTCTGGAAAGTCATTGTTGATGATATAGGGAAGGTGATTTGACTGAAGCTGTGAATGGGGGTGGGATAGGTTGTAGGGAGAGCATTCCAGGTAGGAGGAAGAGTGCAGAGGCTGTGAAGTGGGAAAGGGGGACAGGGAGAGTATGGCCTTCATGCAATGCATGAGAAGCTAGGCAGAAAATCTTGCTTGATGAGTTATTTCTCAAAGTGACTATTAAAATGAGAATTCTCCAGATTCTCCACCAGGGCTACATTGTTTCACAGACAGTATTATGGCGGGCCTAGGTTCTCTGGACTAATCACAGAAGTCACTTTGCTTTTACTGATACTTTTTTGAGCTCAGCTTTCTCTGAGGGCTGAGGTCATGGTTTACTCAAGTTTATCTGAGGTATAATAATCCACTTTTTGTTAAAATTGCATTTTGAGATAATTGTGGATTTGCATGCAATTGTAAGAAATAATACAGAGATCCAGTGTACCTATTATCCAGTTTCCACTGAGTTTCTAACCATAGTTTTTTCCAAACTAGTTTTCCTGCAAAACTATAGTATGATGTAGCAATCAGCATAGTGACATAGGTGTAGTCAAGATAAAAGGTCTTTCACTGCAGTGTCTTTCCTGTTATCCTGTTGTAACCCCACATCCACCTTTTCTTCTATGCCTCTATTTTTCCATCCTATTCCTTTTGTCTGGTTTTTGTGTCTAAGTGACATTGGCTTCATAAAATCAGTTGGACAGTTCTATATTTCCTACCAAAGACTATATAGAATTGATAAAGATTTTAAAAAGAAAAATATGTAGAAGATGTGGATGTGTGCTGGAGGCCAGCTCCAGCTGAGTTCGGAGCTTGAGAAGGGTGTGTGGAGTCGGCGTAAAGAGAAACATTGGACCACTACAATTTCATGATCATAATGGATCATGCAAGAAAGCTGTTCACTCTATTTATACAGAAGCCTTCACAAACTCTCCCACAGACTTTTTACGGTACAGTCAAGTTGGTGTTTTAAAAGGTATTTCTGCCAATTGTTTCACCTTAAAGCAGGATGTTATCCATCCTGACCCTGTGGTTACTTATCAATCAGTAACATTCCTACTACAATCCTCATTCTACAACTTAATCTTGAATCAGTTAAAGGGGGAAATTCATCACAGAAAGAAAAACCTAAAGATCAAGAAAAAACCCTAAACATAGATTCCCACTACACCCATGGGCTAAACAACCCTAGATTAATCTAAAAGCGTGTTCTACCTCAAGCTCTTCCAGCCTTATGGTTAATGGGGGCAGGTGAAACATCATGAATTATGAGACATTATTATTATTAGACGTTATTAGCAACATCAACTCCCAAACTCACATTGTAAAAACCAACTCTCAGGGGCAAACAACAATGCCTCAATAGATTACAGAATTCTCAGCAGGGTGGTTGAGTGTCCATGCCAAGAGGGGTGAAACTTCCTTGAGGTGGTTGGAGAGACATCCGCCAGGCCTTGCCTTGCAGCAGGAAGCTCCTCAAGGCCTTGCCAGCAGGGGAGCAGTTCTCTTCATACCTTAGTGTCATCCACACCCACTGCACGGACCCCAGCAGATGTGGATACAACATTGGAGTGCCTAGGTCTAGTGCTGGGCTCCAGTTTTCCAATTCTAGCCTCTTACTGATGCAGAACCTCAGACAATGGTTGAAGTAGTTAATTCCCTACAATCACCATCCCAGGAGGACTAGATGGGGTCCTAAGCTCCTCGCTTTGGTGTGGCCCAGTCCTGGATGTTGTGGGGATTTAGTAAGTGAACCAACCAATGGAAACTCTTTGTCTCTAGGTCTTACATATATTAATACATACATATGTACACATGTGCATGCATAAAGCATATTTTATTACATGTATATACGCATATGTATGGGTTTTTTTCTATTTATTTTTATTGAAAAGGCAAATCAGATTTATGGAGAGAAGTAGGAAGAAAGATCTTTAACCCACTGGTTCACTCCCCAAATGGCCACAACAGTGCAAGCTGAGCTGAGCCAATCAGAAACCAGGAGCCAGTATGCTAGGGATGGTACTGTTATAAATAGAAAACATCATTATAGAATAGTGGTGATTCGTGCTTTATTATGTCTACTTTTGCTAGGTATGGATTATAGATAGTGTGTCACATTTACATTCACATTGGGCATATCTGTATGATGATGTACACTGCTTAGTGATATTGCAGTGCACTTATTTGTAAGCACTTTACACTAATAGTATCAAATCATCTTCACATCATGTTATATGTAGATGGTAATGTGTTGTATAAGGCACTGAACTGAAAGTGAAACATGAATGTGCTTCTAGTATAGGGGCTCCTTCCAGAGGATTTTCTGAAGTCTGAAGGGATCAGTAATTGTAAATCACATACTGCTTATGAGTGGCGAAGTCGTGTTTCTGAGAACTTACTATATGTAGAAGCCTAGCACTTAAAATCTTTTCTTAATGTTGTGCTTTGTCCATTGCAGCGTGGAGATAGGCGAAAGTGTCCGTGGAGAGGATGTTTACATTGTGCAGAGTGGTTGCGGTGAAATCAATGACAATCTGATGGAACTTCTGATCATGATCCACGCCTGCAAGACTGCCTCGGCCAGTCGGGTGACCGCAGTCATCCCATGCTTCCCTTACGCGCGGCAGGATAAGAAGGATAAGGTAGTAGAGGAATCTTTTAAGATTTGTTTGTGTATCTGAAAGGCAGTTAGAGAGAGAGGAAAGAGATCTTCCATCTACTGATTCACTTGCCAAATGGCATAGTAGCCAGAGGTTGAGCTAGGACAAAGTCAGGAGCCAGGAACTCCTCCTGGGTTTCCCACATGGGTGACAGGAGCCCAAGTGCTTGGCACATCTGCTGCTGCTTTCTCAGATGCATTAGCAGGGAGCTGAACTGTTGCTCATATGGGATACTGGTATCCCAGATGGCTGCTTAACTCACTGCCACAACCCCAGTCACAGGATCTTATTATCTTTTTTGTTTTGTTTTGTTTTGATTTATTTTGATTGGAAAAGCAGATTTGCAGGGAGAAGAAGGAACAGATCTTCCATGTGCTGGTTCACAACCCAAGTGGCTGCAACAACCAACAGATTGGCCAGATTGGCAACAACAGATTGGCTGAGCCAATCTGAAGACAGGAACCAGGACCTTCTTCCAGGTCTCTCATGTGGGTGCAGGTTTCCAGGATTTGAGGGAATACTCTACTGCTTTCTCAGGCCACAAGCAGGGAACTGTATAGGAATTGGAGCAGCCAGGATATGAACTGGCACCCACATGGGATTACAATGCAAGCAAGGCCAGGGTTTAGCCACTAGGCTATTGTACCCCTCCTTTTTTTTAAACAGGGAATGCAGAAACAATTTCCTGAAGTCCCCCCACCTCCCTTAAAATCCTTATCTATCAAGTACGTATCTGTAGGGTATTTTAAAACAATGCTTTCTTAGATATTATCTTCAAATTGGTAGATATTATACGTTTATATTAAAGTCACACTGTAGTAGTTTGTTATTCAAGTCACACATAAATTTAAGTTAGTTCACTGGCATTTTGTGGTGTGGGTGGGTGGTAAGATTTATTTGGAAGACAGAAAAAGATCTTCTAGTTGCTGGTTCACTGCTCAAATGCCCACAAACAAACAAACAAACAAGCAAAACTCAAAAACCAGGGTTGAACCAGCTGAAGCCAGGAGCCAGGAACTCTATCCCGATCCTACCTGTAGATTAAGGGGGGGCAACAATTTTGGCCATCTTGGGCTGTTTTTCCACATATATTCTATATGCTGCTTTATTCCTCAAATACCTACAAAATTCAGGCCAGACCTGGTCAAAGCCGAGAGCGCAAAACTCCATCTGGGTCTCCCAGTCGAGGCTGCCTCCTAGGATGTGCACTGATAGGAATCAGGGTAGAAATCTGCCCGGCTGGGCCTTAAACCTAGCAGCTGTGATTTGGGATGCAGATTTGCAAGTTGCAACTTGAGCTGCTGTGCCCAATGCCTACCCCTGAAATGTAATTTTGGACTCTGGCATGTTAGCAATAGTGTGCAGGTTTGAGAATATGGATTCAATGAGTTTTTTTTTTTTTTTTAAACAATATAGTTACTTGAAAGGCAGAGTGACAGAGAAATTCAGAGAGACAAAGAGGTCTTCCATGTGCTTGTTCACTCCCCAATACCTGTATTAGTCAGGGCCAAGCAGAAGCCATAAGCTGGGAACTCCATCCAGGTTTCCAACGTGGATAGCAAGGGCCACGTACTTGAGCCATCTCCCACTACTTTCCTAATCATATTAGCAAGGAGTTGGATCAGTGGCTGAATAGCCAGGATTGAAACTGGAGTTCTGATATTGGATGCCAGTGTTGCAAGTGATGACTTAACCAAGCCTTCTGTGCCATGATGCCAGCTCTCCTGGAGATTTTAAGAAAAGTATTAAACAAAAGAAAACAGCAAAACATTTGAAGTCTGCCTAATTTGAATAAGCTTTGGAAGCACTTGAGTAGACTGAAAATGCATTGTTGTTTTATTTATTGAAGTGCATTGAGATGGTAATGTTCATTTCTTTTTTGTTCTGGTTTTTTTTATATATAAAAGATCTTATATATTCATTTGAAAGGCAGAATAGAGGGAGAAAGAGAAAGATGTATTTTCCCATCTGCTGGCTCTCATTTCCCAAGTGGCTGCTGTAGCTGGGGCTGGACCAATCTGAAGCCAGGAGCCAGGCGCTTCTTCCAGGCCTCCCCAACTGAGTGCAGGGGCTTAAATACCTGGACCATCTTTCACTGCTTTCCCAGGCACATTAATGGGGAGCTGGGTTAGAAACAGAGCAGCCAGGATTTAGAGCAGTGCCCATATAGGGTGCTGGCATTGCAGGTGGAGATTTAACTCATGATGCGGCAACAGTACTATTTTAGATTATGATCTATTTAAAGCCAGTGGTCATATCTGCTCTTCATAGTAATAAGTATATAATAAGTGTTTCTTAAGCAAATGAATTGATTTTAGGATTTCCGGTTTTCTTTCATTTCCTTCCCTCGCTAGAGCCGGGCTCCCATCTCAGCCAAGCTTGTTGCAAACATGCTGTCCGTGGCAGGTACTGATCACATCATCACCATGGATCTACATGCTTCTCAAATTCAGGTATCGGTGGAAGTTCGGTGCTGGGGGTTGCAGTAGTCGGGGGAGAGGACTGACAGTTCTGAAGACTGCAGAGCAGGCAACAACTGCCCAAGTGCAGCCCAAAAAACTAGATATTCAACGACATTTTAAATGTGTTCTCTTTAAACACATTTTGTGATCGTAGCTATTTGGGATGATGAGAGGGAGGCAGTCTGGCACTACGGGATAAGCATAAGCTTGGGATCAGACCTCGCCATAATATTGGTGCTTACACTAAAGGCTTGGATAAGTATGTCTCTGAACATTGTTTTCATTATTGTGAATATAAAGTGACATTAAATTCATAGTATAATACTTGCTACTGTAATGGTAAGTTCTCAGTACTGCGAAGCTGTTACTTTTCCTTTTAAATATCCAAAGCCTTAAGTTGAGAGCCACAAACTCATAGTAAGAGGAATGAAACACAACCTTTATTTTGTACACTTAAAAGAGATCTTTTTGGCATCATTGTCAGATTTGTGGCAATCCAGTGATTACATAGAACAGGAGATTGTACATATTTAGTAGAGTAAGAACACATTTTTAAACTTAAAAAATTATTTAAGGCAGAGTTACAGAGGACAGAGATGTTCAGGCCACCTGGTTCACTCCCCAGATGACTGAAATGGCCAGAGCTAAGCCCATCTGAAGCTAGGAACCAGTAGCTTTTTCTAAGACTCCCACATGGGTGCAGGGGTGCAAGAGGTTGAGCCATCTCCCGCTGCCTTCCCAGACCGTAGGCAGGGAGCTGGATGGGAAATAAAGCAGCCGGGACATAATCTGGTACCCATCTGGGATGCTGGTGCTGCAGGTGGAGGCTTAGCATATTATACCACTGCACCAGCCCATACATTAACTAGAATTATAACAGACATTCTTTTGGCACCTCTGGTTTGACAGTTAAGCAACATTCAGAGGCATGGAGCACTGTTTATTAATCTACGAGTCTGCAGGTTAGTTGGACAATCCTGATAGACACTGGCTGAATTTGGTTGATCTTCACCACGGTTTGCTCATGCTGCTATGATGAGTTGTGGGTTGGTGTTGCTGATCTTGACTGGTGTCTCTCAGCTGAGATTTCAAAGTGTTGTTTTTACAGTCTACGTCCTGGGCATGCCTTCCTGCTTGAGTTTCACAATGTGATCTTCTTGGGGGCATGTTGCTCCCGTGTTAGGATGTACAAACAGAATAGGAAGGAACGTGAAGCAGGACTGATGGAGCTTCCACCTGCAGGGCTTCTTTGATATCCCAGTGGACAATTTGTACGCCGAGCCTGCTGTCCTGAAGTGGATCAAGGAGAACATCTCCGACTGGAGGAACTGCACGATTGTTTCCCCTGACGCTGGTGGAGCTAAGAGGTAGGGTGGGTGTGAGCACTTCTCCCAATGCATTGGCCAAGAAGTCTTTTCGACAGTTGGGTGTGACGGTCAGCTTTCCATAATCATGGCAAACACCCTGAATCAGTCAGCTTAGAAACAGTTGGCTTAGCTACAGTTTTGGAAGTTCAAAGTCCAAATAACGTAGTATAGATTTTGGCTTTGATGAGGAGTCTGACAAACCACATAGTGGGAACATGTGCACTGGCAGGCAGGCTCAGCAGGTGAGACAGGAAGTGGGGAGGGATGGAGCGAAACTCAACACTTCAAACACAACCCTCTTGTGAGAACTACCTCCCAGGATTGGTCGAGGTACCTACAGATCGCCCATGAGGCTCCATGTCCTAAACGTTCCATCTTCTCTTAGCAGTGCCACTCTGAGGATCAAGCCTTTTGGGGCAAAATTCTAGTTGTAAGCCATTGTGGTTCTTGTCAGAAAGTAATGTTTTGTTTTCATCTGACTGGCAGTTTTTCAGTACTTCAGAATGGGTATATTAGGAGCTGGACATGGATTGGATGTCACTTTACTTACTCCTCTTGCACTGTCTCTAGTTACTTCTTGGAAGACAAAGCCAAAAAGGGGCCCTAAATAAGCATGGTGTCGTGAACATAACCGTCAATAAGATTAGTAACTTCACTAGCAATGGTTCTCAACCCACTAGAAAGAATAGAAAATTCGGTGTTCTAATGAATGGCAGCTGCTATTACATCACATTAGTTTTATAGACCTCTTACAATGCTGATGGTTACATGTTTCAATCCTTGTTAAGAAAGAAGCAAAATCCTGAAGTACAGGATCTTTATTAAAAGCCAAGAATTTAAACAAACTCTTTACCAAGGATTTCCATTTACACTACAACTCCCATGGTGCAGACTCCAAGCCCCATGATGTTGTTAGTGGGTTGCTGACAGTAATACATTCAGAAGTATGACACTTGTTCTTCTGGTTGTGAAACTAGAATGAAGAACTAGAAAACACGGGTTAGGAAAAGCTAATTCACAACTTAGAAAAGTTGTGACTTAAACGACTTCTTTATTTCAGTAACTTGGCTGAACTGAGAAGCTGTGAGCACGTTCTGTTTGCAGCCAGCTGTTTGGCTTGGTGAGCAGTACTAGAAATAGCCTGAAAAACAGGTCCCTACTGGAAGTTGTCCAGCTTGCCTTCATTTGATCTGACCATTATTTATATATTGTCATGTTCTCAGTTAGCAGGATTTTCTTGACAAAACTGGATCCAAGAAAACTGAATTTGATAGATAATTGCCACCTAATGATTTTTTTTTTTTCATTATACTTATCTTGCAGTGGTGACGTGTTTGCCAAATGAGTCACTGTCATTTCTGACTTGGCAAGGTTTGGGGGAACAGCTGTGATTTATGTGGTAGTAATTCTCCACTCAAGGGATTAGGGGGCTACTTTCCTAGTTCTTTTTATGCTTTGTTGACTCTGAGTTTGCTGACCATTTGGATGATTTGAGACTTTGGGGGGCGGGGGGGACCATAATCTTCCTTGGATGAGTAACCCTTGCAAACAGATTGGTTACTGTAATGTTATGAGCCTAAGCAGAGAGTAAGTAAGAATAGAATCTGTGGTTCATTTCAATCAAGTTACAAATGTCACCTAAGTTGTGGTTCTGAATTTTTTAGGGTCACATATTTTCCCTATTCAAAATAAAACCTGGAATATGTGGCCACAAGGGAACTAAGACGTAATGCCATGGTTGGATCGCAGCTTTCTTTCAAAACCAGACTCAGGTGGCTTCTTCAGCCATAGTGCAGCCCAGAGGTTGCATATTCACCAGGGCAGCCCACTGTCACTTACGCTGCAAGCATTTATGCTTCAGTGTTAGGTGGCACATGGTCACCACTTCCCAGCCACTTTTGTCTTGAATAAGAAAAAAAAGTTGTATTTTGACTTGGAGATATTTTGGTTTAGTTCATTGTTTAAAACGTTTCTAAAAATTATGGAAGGACCTCCCCTGTGGTGCCCAAGTCACCAGCTGTTGGTGGGGATTTTGCCACCAACACTAGGGGGCGCTATGGCCACGGGAATTGAAACATGCTGGCTATTATTTCCCTTTTGCAACACTTCTCACCATACCCAAGGTCATGAGTTGGCCTTCATGGGACTTTCTGCAATTCCAGTTTTTGCTGAACATGTAGCAATTGTACTTCCTTTATAGAGTAGAGTGTGATAAGATATTATACAGCAGGTACTGAACAACTCAGAATAATTAACATATCATTGCTTTGCTGGGAGGCCTCCAGCTCCTCTCTTGCTGAACCTTCGGAAAATATTTAATAGGGTATTGTGAACTGTGGTCACCTGAGTGTGCTGTGGAACACTAGAACACCTCTCTTCCATCTGCCCTGACATACATTGTAACGGACACACCCTGTTTTACAGAGTGACCTCCATTGCAGACCGGTTGAATGTAGACTTTGCCTTGATTCACAAAGAGCGGAAGAAGGCCAACGAGGTGGATCGCATGGTGCTCGTGGGAGACGTGAAGGATCGGGTGGCCATCCTGGTAGATGACATGGCTGACACGTGTGGCACCATCTGCCACGCAGCCGACAAGTGAGTGCACAGTGATGGGACTGATGGTTAGAAGTGAAAGATGCATGCGTCACTGCTGCCTAGATGCCATGAACTGGCCAGTTCTTTCTGAAGAGATCAGCAGCTTTATCACTCTTTGCTTACATTGTGATATAAATTTGAGTTCTCTTTCTTTTGTTGAAATATCCATTACCTAGATTATATAACAAACATTTTGACTGTTTTTAGATTTATTTGAAAGGCAGAGCAAGAGACTTTGTTCAAGAACCATTGCCCCGATTGATTCTTAATTTTTCTTTATTTGAAAGGTGGATTTACAGAGAGAGGGAGATACAGAGAGATTTTCCATCTGCTGGTTCACTCACCAAATGTTTACAATGGCCAGAGCTGAGCCAATCCAAAGCCAGGAGCCTGTAATTTCTTCCAAGTCTCCCACATGTGTGCAAGGACCTAAGGACTTGAGCCATCCTCTGCTGCTTTCCCAGGCCACAAAGTAAGGAGCTGGATCATAAGTGGAGCAGCCAGGACATGAACTGGTACCGCTTTGGGATGCTGGCACCATAAGTGGAGGCATCATAATGTCACAGCATCAGTCCCAACCTTGTTTGCTTCTGATAGTTTATTTTAACAAGTTATGGTAAAATTCCACAGATCTGAACAGACATAAATGCAGTACTTTAAAAAGTTCATGAACATGGAATTCAAAGATAAGTATTTTAATGCAAAAAAATTTAAAAACACTATGCATATTTTTCTGTGCATTAAAGTTCTTTTATATTTAACTTTATTTTTTTCAAATTATTTTTCATGATAGAGTTCCTTAGCTTCAGGGATTTTCCCTTCCACCTCTCCTACCCTCTTATCCTCCACTCTTTTCCCCTATGTTATAACAATAGTTATTGTATTTTTAAAGAGTTATTTGTTTTTCATTGGAAAGGTAGATTTACAGAGAGCGGAGACAGAGAGATCTTCCATCTGCTGGTTCACTCCCCAAATGGCCTCAATGGTTGGAGCAGAGCTGACCTGAAGCCAGGAACTTCTTCCAGAAGCTTCTTCCAGGTCTCCCACAGGGTGTAGCATCCCAAGGACTTGTGCTGTCCCCCACTGCTTTCCCAGGTCATAAGCAGAGAGCTGGATGGGAAGTGAAGCATATGGTTGCACAAGAGCCATCCTGCACCTCCATCCAGGTCTCCCGTAAGAATGACAGGAACCCTGGGGCCAGCATGGTGGCGCAGCACACTAATTCTCAATCTGTGGGACTGGCATTCTATATGGGCAGCTGGTTTGTGTCCTAGCTGCTTCATTTCCAATCCAGCTCCCTGCTAATGGACTGGCAAAGCCACGGAGGATGGCTTGGGTCCTAGGGCTCTGTGTCCACATGGGAGAACTGGAGGAAGCTCCTGGCTCCCGGGTTAACAGTGGGTCTGCTCCTGCTGTTACAGCTGTTTAGGGAATTGAACCAGCAGATGAAGCACCTCTCTGTCTCTCCTCTATTTAAAATCTGCCTTTCAAGTACAAATAAATAAATCTTAAAAAAAAAAAAAAAGGAAGAAGAATGGCAGGAGCCCCACGTACCTGAGCCATCACTCACTGCGTCCCAGAAACATGAGCTTGAAGTTGGATTGGAAGCACCAGGTAACCAGGACTCATAGCAGCACTTTAATATGGGGTGTAGGCACTCCAAGCAGTGGCTTAACCTACTGCGTGCCCATGCCCACCGCATTATTGTTTCCTATAAAGGTTTTATCTTTAGATGTGTCTGGGCCTCATACAGTACCTGGTACATAATAAATGTGAAAAGAAATCTGGGTTACTTGAATGGCCTCTGTCCTGGAAAAGTGTCCTCTTTCCGTATCATCAGGCCACATCTTCTGAAGCTGTGGCTTCCAAGACTGCGTCATGGTAAGATCCATAGCCAGATAACCAAAAACACTGGACAGTACTCTCCCCACGCATGGGTAAAAGAAGAGCTCCTATGTACACACAGCAAGGTAGCATGAGGTCTCTACAAGCCAAGAGATGAGACCTCAGAATGGAATGTGCTTTGCACCTTATCTTCAGAATTCCAACTTCCAGAACTGTGAGAAATGCATCATGGTTAAAGTCACCTGGGCTGTGATCATTTCTGATGGCAGCCGACCCAGACTTATGCATTCTTCCTCCCTTACTCACATTCCCTTCTGACAAGATAAATCCGAATCAACTCTCTTCTAGACTTCTCTTGGCTGGAGCCACCAGAGTTTATGCCATCTTAACCCACGGAATCTTTTCGGGGCCAGCCATTGCTCGCATCAATAATGCGTGCTTTGAAGCGGTGGTCGTCACCAACACCATACCTCAGGAGGACAAGATGAAGCAGTGCTCCAAGATCCAGGTGAGCAGGAGAGTGGCAGAGCAGGCCTTCATGGAGCAGGGAAAAGGTGCTTGTATTCCACGGATTCAGTGTCTGCACTCTCAAGATTACCATCTTTAGTTTTGAGGGAGCAGGTTATTCTGTCATAGGATCTGTGATCTAAAAAATTAAAAAGAAAACCTGTTTAAAAATGGCAATTACTAAACCTCATTATCTCCTAGCATGGTAGCTTCTCTATTGAACAGGCTTTCCAAGTGAGACTCACTCGTTTCCCCATCTGCCCTAGGCATAATGTGAACATTTAGATGGGTTGTATACTTCCTATGAGTTCAGCGTTTTTCAAAGTATTCCTAGATTTACAGTTCTTGTTGAAAGGGTAGATTCTTTTGCTTCATCTAAGATATGTTTAAGATCCTGGACCCAATATTTCTAAAGTAAAATGCTTCCCTAGGCAGTTATTAGGAACTAAAGTCTGAATGTCTTTGCAGTAAAAGAATAAGGCCTTCCCTGTGTACAGTACACCATTAGCTTTCTTAAATTATAGTATTATATAGTTGAAGGATTGTTGTCATTCACAAGGAGTTTTGTTTTAAGATTTATTTACTTATTCCCACCTGCTGATAGTCCCCATGTGACTACAATGGACAGGGCTGGGCCAGGCTGAAGCCAGGAGCTTAATCTGAGTTTCCTGCACAGGTAGAGGGGCCCAGTCATTTGGGTCATCTTGCTACTTTCCTGGACACATCAGCAGGAAAATTAGATCAGAAGTGGAGCAGCCAGGATACAAGTGGATGCTCATATGGGATGCCAGCACTGCAGGCGATGACATAGCTCTCCATGTCCCAATGCTGGCCACTTTAGAATTTCTTTTTTCAACCTAAAACATTATTTCCACTCGTTTTTAAAAGAATTATTTTATTTTGGAAGAACTTCAATGGAATTTATTGAGAGACAGAGAGATCTTTCATCCACTGATTTACTCTCCAAATGGCTTCAGTTGTGGGAGCTGGGCTGAGCTGACCCAGGTCTCCCATTTGCAGGAGCACAAGCACTTGGGGCATCCTCCACTGCTTTCCCAGGCCATAAGCCGGGAGCTGGATTGGACGTGGAGAAGCTGGGACTCTATTTGGTTCCTATGTGGGATGGTGACTCTACAGCTGGCTGCTTTACTTGTTATGCCACAGTGCCAGGCCCCCTTTCCATTATTAAGGATTTCAGAATGCCAGCCTACCACCTTGTTGATGATCCTGAGTCAATTTTTTCTCCATTAGCATCTGTGCTGTTTTCCTAAGTGGTTATGTTAATAATGTTGGGAAGAATGGGAGGCACCTGTAGGGAAACTACACGGTGGGGGCAGTTCTAGGAAGCAGAGCTCTTGCTGGGCTCAGTGGTGTCTCTAAGTTGGCCAGCCATCCTTATACAGATGGTACTGATCTGCAACCTTTCCTCCCTTTCTAGGTGATCGACATCTCCATGATCCTTGCAGAAGCTATTAGGAGAACTCACAATGGGGAATCTGTTTCCTACCTGTTCAGCCACGTCCCTTTGTAACAGTACTTCTGAGGCTTTTTCAAAATAAAAGCAACCCTACCCCTTGTTTTTCCCTTGGTATTTGAAGACACATTTCAGCTGAAGACCCACCTTGCTCCAGTGTAGTTTTCTACATCCTCTATCAGATATATTAGAGCTTATCCTTAACATGAGGGAAAGATAGATTGAGATGACCTGCTGGGACTCCTCGCCTGCCTTTGTCTCATTCTGGCTCCCTCGATGGAATTTGTCTTGAGCCTTGCAGCTTTAAGTTCAGCTCAGCTGCTACAAGATTTCAGACTTGGGATTTTTGGATATGACAAGGGGATGCTCAGACTACTTTGCATGTGAATGTTTCGTGTGTGTGTGTGTGTGTGTTCAGAATAACTAGCAACAAAGCCCACCCCTGTGACAAGCTCTTCAAGCTCTGTGCTAAATGACGAGTCTCAGGCAACCCCAAACCCAGCCCAGGTAGCTGAGCGGCCTCTAGGGAAGGAGCGGGCAGTTGAGCTTGAGCAGCTGTTCAGTAGGATCCGAAGTGGGGTGGGATACAACAGTGCTACAGGTGCTGCTTGGGAGGAAGAAGCCTGACCCATCCCCATCTCGCTTGACTGTGTAGTTTCAATTCTCCTTTGTATGTGTTCTTTTGGACTTGACCTTCAGCCATCTTTTCCTTTTCCCTGGCCTGACAAACTTTTGGGCCCAAGTGATCATTTCATCATGTCTGCTGGAAAGAAAACTTGCCTCCTGCTTTGTAATTATTAACATTTGCATTAGACTGACCTGCCACAGCTTAATCTTCCTTAGCCTACTACCACTGTGGTTGTAGGTTGTAGGTGATACTGTAGTGCCTTTGGATTAATTTAAGTATTTAAATTTTCATCTTCCTTCTTTGGATCTGTTTGGCCTCTCAAATGCTCCGAGATATCTGTTTAAGAAATGGATGTGATTATTGTCTTATATGGATAAATTTAATAAAGTATCTGTATTTGTGTGACTTGGCGTCTATGTCGTATGTATCTATACAGATCTTTGTTAATGGTTTGATTCAGGTATCTTCCTAACCAATGATAATGCTTACTTTGTTTCCAAACTTTACATTAAGTTAAGAGGAGATATCAGCATCAGTTTTATTCCCTCTAAAAGTTCGAAGATGTCTGGGGTTTACTGAGAACGAGATCAACTACAGTTCTTCTGATACATTATACATGGATCACAGGGAGGAGAATCATTTCTGTGATTTCTTCATTTTGAACCAATTTTGCCATGAAGTAATTTCCCTCTATTCATCAGTACTTGAATAGAGGGAAATAGGTCCTCTAAATAAAAGCAATTTTGAGAAGGTAAGCACACAACATTTAAGAATGAATTAGAATGCATTCCAAAACTTTAAGTGCCTTTCCTTGCACATCACCAAACAAGGGTGTTGTGTTCGCTTGGGAAGCTCCATGCTCCAGAGCTTGGTGAAATGTGTGCTTTGATTTTTTGAAGCCTGGGCCAACTTAGATTTAGTTTTTTGTTGTTTTTGGTTTTTTTTTTTTTTTTTTTTTTTTTTTTTTTTTTTTTGCTTTTCTTGGGAAATGGGATTTCTGCTTTACAATCAACCTTTTGACAAAAGCAGCTCAAGATGGACTGCGGTACCTCTAGCCCTCTTTCTTCTCAACATTTTGGCTCTGAGACAAGTGATTCTAGTAGCTTCCCTTTCATCCACTATTGATGCATTCTAGGACCCACAATGGATGCCTGATATTACAAATGTTACCAAACCTCTTGGACAATCTTTTTGTTAATCTGCACATAGTAATGATAAAGCTGAACTTATTAATGAAGTATAGGAAAAGATTAGTGATGATAAATATAATGCATTGAAATTCTCAGCATCACTATTCCAGTGTCTTGGGACTGTTAGGCAAAGTAAAAGTTACTTGAACTTAAATACTGCCAACTCTGAAAGAGTTAATCTGGTAACTGGCATAGATCATTACTAAGTAATTGCTGGGCAGATAGTATACACAGTGTGGATACACTGGACAAAGGAGTGGAACCCATCCTGGACAGTGCACAGTAGGATCGTGTGTGCATTCATTATGCTGCTCCAAATACCATACAATTTAAAACATGAATTATTTCCAGAATTTTCCGTTTACTTTCAGGCCTATGACTGACTGAATAACAGACCACATAAGGTGAATATGCAAATAAAAGAGAACAACTGTTTATTCTTTAAAGATCCATTTTATTTATTTAAATGACAAAAGTGAGAGGTCTTTAATCTGCTTTTTTACTCACCAAATGATGGCAAGGGTGAAGGCTGGGCAAGGCCTCCATCCATCTGGGTCTCCCATGTGGCTGACAGAGGCCCAATCACTTGGGCCATCTTCCATTGCTTTCCTAGGTACATTCGCAGGCTGCTGGATCATAAGCGAAGTAGCTGGGACTCAAACCAGCATTCATGGGATGCCAGCACCACAGGTGGTGGCTCAACTTGCTGTGCCACAATGCTGTTCCCAGGACTAATGTTTATAACAAGACTTCTACTGTGGGTCCCCTTGGATAGTCAATTTTGCTTCATTTTTCCTTAAATTTTATTTTTATTTGAAACGCAGTATTAAAGCAATTTTCCATCTTTTAGTTCACTCTAAATGGCAGGAATTGTGCTGATCCATAAGTGAGGAGCTAGGAACTTCTTAATGGGCATTGGGGCCCAAGGATTTGAGCTACCATTTGCTGCTTTCCCAGTTGATAAGCAGAGCTGGGTCAGAAATGCAGCAGCCAGGACTTGAAACCAGCACCCATATGGGATACCAGTGCCACCAGAGGCTCAACCTACTACACTATGGTGCCAGCTGCTGAGTAGTCCATTTTCTTTTTTTTTTTTTTTTAAGATTTATTTATTTATTGGAAAGTCAAATAGACAGAGAGGAAGAACTTTCGTCCTATGATTCACTCCCCAAGTGAGCGCAACGGCCAATGCTATGCCACTGATCTGAAGCCAGGAGCCAGGAACTTCTTCCGGGTATCCCACACGGGTGCAGGGTCCCAAGGCTTTGGGCCGTCCTCGACTGCTTTCCCAGGCCACAAGCAGGGAGCTGCATGGGAAGTGGAGCTACTGGGATGAGAACCGGCGCCCATATGGGATCCTGGCACGTTCAAGGCGAGGACTTTAACCGTTAGGCCACGCTGCTAGGCCCAGAATAGTCCATTTTCTAGGGTGATTTTTTTTTTTTTAGGTCATCTAAGAAGCCCTCACTCCCCATCTTTGGTCCCTGTGCTTGGGGGAGGCCAATATTACCTCTGACAGTGGTGTCATGAGTGCCCTCAAAGTCATTGCTTTTTGGGTTTTGTTTGTGGCTTTTTGATTCATTTTGTTTTTTTCTATAGTGCGACAGACCCAGGTGTGCTGGACGGCAAGCAGTTCCTGACTGGAACAATAGCACGAGCAGACGTGATGGGGCAAGAGGTGGAGGAAGCAGCAACAAAGCTGCGTCTAATAGCAAGAGCACAGTTGACACAGAATTACTTGGGCTGGGTGTGTGATTGCCTGCAAGAAGGCGGCCAAGCTCCATCTCACAGCCTCTGCATTCTTCCATCTTCCAAAGGAAAGGCGTCTTGTGTTGGCTGCTAGTCCTAGGTCTACATATGCAGCAGGTGCATTCTGCTGACAATGTCAGTTTGCGCATTAATGGCATGTAGCTCTTAATCAGGCTTATCTGAATTCTAAAAGCTTGGGAATTCCCCAAACGGGTGCTGTGCTGTTGAACTACCATCCTACCATCCCTGACTAGCTCTCAGTTATGGGGAGGGAGGAAGGAAACATATTTTGGGTGTTGGTGGACGCTCCCCACAAGAAAAAAAAAATGAGGCTGCAAGGGAAGCAAGCTTTGCACTGTTGCTCTGGGGCCTACTACTCCCACCAGGGACCTTCAAATTGAGTCAGTATTCTGGCTGTGAAAAGCTTCCTGCCCATGCCAGGTCTGTGCCTCCGGTCTTTAGATAGGGGCTGTTTCCTGGATCCCTGAGCCCTGGTTCTCAGCTCTGGCTTCACATGGCAAGGCGTTTTACAATCTGTGCATAATAGAACCCAAAGCAGTTTGATTATAGCAGGGCCATATGTCTTTGGAGTCCTCTTTACAGGTGCCAAGGTGCCCTGTCCCCCATCACTTGGTAACAGGCCACCAGGTACCAAGGTGTCCTGTCCCCCATCACCTGGTAACAGACCACCAGTGGCATCTGTGCTGGTGTTTTTTTAGAGCTTCAAGTGGCAGAAATGGGGGACGGCATTGGCCTGGGGACTGATTGGATGAGCCAGAGGGCAGGTGGACAACTCAGCTCACTCCCATCATGTACTCCCACTCTGCCCCTGCTCCTGAGGAATGCCTGGCTCCACCCCTGCCTGGCACTCTGGGAGCCTGAGCCTTTAAGTCCCTGAGGACATCTTGCCATGAGGAAGTTCCTGTGTGTTTCTGCTGACAGAGTGGACAGAAAGGGCTGAGAAAGGCAAAGCAGCTTTCTCCATCTCAGGACAGGGAGACTTTACCAGCATCAGCGACTCACAGCTTTCCAGGGGAGACATGGGTCTCCTCACCCAGACCTCACTACTAACAGGCCATTGTGTGTCCTTCCATGGTGGCCTCCTCCCCATGTTCTAAGACCAGACAATCTCCATTGGCTATCAGCCAAGCTTCTCTCTCCATCTTTCTTTTTTCCAAAGTTTGTATTGGCTCACATGTGTGTCTCCTTCCAACATGTCAGCTGCCAACCATTAAAAAAAAAAAAGGCAAACAGAAAGGGAAGCTCATTTTGAAACAAAAATAGCCAAAACCATGTGAAGTGACAATAGTTCTGACTCTCATTCCCATGAGCTCCAGTTTTTTCCACTGGCTCTAGTTCTTATGTGCTTGTCCAAGTCCACACCACCACACTTGGCACATGGATTAACTGCTACAGCTTGATTCTTGTTGCTTCATTCATATAGTTGTCTTGAACTTGGGTTCCGTGGTTGAGCAGAAGACAGGCCAGCTGGCCTGGCCAATGCCCTTCATTTGAGTGATATACTCAGCAGAGATTTTCTATATGTGCAGGCAAGCAGCCTGGAGCCACACTGGCCAATTTCAGCACCGTCAAAGTTTTTGAGCTAACACCTTTAGTAATAAAGTCAGGGCAGAGAGGTGCGGTGGGAGGTTTTGCTGTGCAGCAGGTCTATAGCAGGGCAGGGAAAGGGAGGGTTTCCCAGCGGTTTAAGACTCATCCCAGCATTTCCTAGAACTGGCTGCTGAACTGACTCCTCCCCCACCCGCCCCCCCACACACACAAACACAGATCAATTCCTTCCCTAAAGTCACCACTGAACACAAGGGTTGTCACTGCTGCCTGGCTGCCACCAGGAGGAGCCAAGACGAGGCCTAGGATCTGGTCACCTGTTGCCTCTCCCAAAGCAGGAAGCCTGAAACAGAGAGGTTGAGCCAAGGCTCAAATCCAGGCACTCCAGGGAAGGAGGGAGGGGCGGGGCAGGTGTTCCAAGTGGCACGTAACTCTATACCCAATGCCTGCCAGATCCTATAGCTGCAAACGGGGCAGTGTACATGCTTGCCCAGATGCTTTATGCAGATCAGGAAGCTGTGCAACATGGGGCTAAAAACTAGGCCAGTCCTTTTTTAAAATTTTTAAGGTTTATTTATTTTTATTGGAAAGGCAGATTCATCAGAGAAGGGAAGACAAAAAAAAAAATCCCCATCTGCTGATTCACACCCCAAATAGACACAACAGCTGAAGCTGAGCTAATCTGAAACCAGGAACCCCATCTGGGTCTCCCATGTGAATGCAGGATCCCAAGGCTTTGGACCATCCTCTACTGCTTTCCCAGGCCAAAAGCAGGGAGCTGGATGGGAAGTGGAACAGCTGAGACACAACCGGTACTCATATGGGATGCCAGTGCTTCAGGTGGAGGATTAGCCAGTTGAACCAATATGCTGACTCCTAAGTCATCTTGAATAAGCT